ACATCACTTTAAGGATGAGTTTTGGTATTGACAGAGAAATGAATTTTAAGCTAAGGGGACAGAGGGAAGCTTTGCTTTCTCATCCCTTGGCTCTGACGACTAGGTGTTGTTTGGGTTTGTTTTCAATTTTAAGCAGGCCACTTTATTTATTTATTTATTTATTTTAGGCCACTTTAATGATCTATGCCTTGAATGTCTCATTTGTAAAATGAAAGCTCACGAGGTGTTGAAGGGAAGCATTAAGTGATGCCTGGGATAGTACTGGAATAAGGTTTTCGGGACAAACAAATCCCAATCAAGGTTTTGTTATTATCAGACCACGTGGCTATGTGATTAGATCTAATGACTCACTGAAAACGGACATCTGTAAAGGAGTTTATGCTTTTGCAAACATTTTCCCATCCATTGTCTCCATAGGTGCTCAAATTGGCCAAGATTAACATTTGTAGAGACACAGTAATGGAGTGTGGTTAAGAACACACACTCTGAAGCCAGATGCCTCACCCGCAGGCAGGCCTGGGTGGCCTCAGTGCCCCTCTCAGTCCTGTTGACACAAGCAGAATGGCTGGAGGTGCCTTCCCACTGGCTCCTTGTGAAGATTCAGTGAGCTAACCGATGTCAGCTGTTCTGGACCGTCCCCAGAACCTAGAAAGTACTCAGTGAGGGTTAGCTTCTATTACTGACACATCAGTATCCTCATCATCTCTGCTTTTATAAACATGGAGGTCTACTGAGTTCTAGTTCTAGATTCTTTTCAACCCACCCCATTGGCATGACTGTGACCTACATAATGACTTAGGAAAAACGCACTGCAGGTCTCTGGCCTTTTCTGTGTTATTGCAAAGTATGTAGCTGAATTCAGGGTTACTGTTTTCTGAGATCGATATTTAGCTACAGAAGGCAAGAATGAACAATTCCAGGAGTCTCTTTAAACCTGTGCAGAATAAGTGCATATAATCATGAAAACTCTAGAATTTCTAGCTCAGTTAGGAAAAAGCAGACTATATATTACAGTATAGGTGTTAATACAACCTGTGAGTCTGAATTTTTATGTACAAAATTAGCCTTTCAAGCTTTCTACCTGCCTAGGCTGATCTCTGCCCCAATGACGGTGGATAGCAAGCTTCCCCAGCCAATACCGGAGTCTCGAAGGAGAGGTTCTTTGGGGGTGTACCACAGTCCGAGGCATAGAGCTTTCTCCTGCAAACAAATTGGCTTCTCTTTAGGGAAGAATTTTTCAACCTTAAAATATCAGTTTGTGTATAGGACTTAATACTGCTTGGATACTAAACAGCACCTACCCCTAGACTTGGGGATAGAAGATGAGGATCTGAGTCCCATCTTCGTTTTACCAAGTGCATGACACTGGCTGACCAACCCTTCAGCCTCTCCACACCTCTGTTTGCGTTTCTGAGAATAATCAAAAAGATTCAAGGACGGTTGTTTTCACAGATTGCTATGTGGTCTCTAGTCAATTCATGTATGTGAAGGCACACAGAGATATTATTGAGATACTGGTATTATACTCAAGATGCATTGCTTCAGGTACCTTTCTAGGTTCAATGGAAGGTTTTATGTCCCTCTATTCTGCAGTTCCCTTGGAATTTGTCCCCTGTGTCCAGTTGGATTATTGTGTCTTGATCAGATCAAGGATGCATATAATCTTGAATTTTAACTATTTACCAGGTAATCATTTCACCTCCTCTTCCCAGTCCCCCAGAACTGAGTCATATTGAGCAGACCCCTGGGCTCAGCTTCGAGGACTATCCCACCCTGGGGACGGTCCAGAATGGTCAAAGAAGTCACAGTCAATGCCCTGGAAATATGCTTCCCATACCAGAGGGTAGCTGTTGCTTTCTGTGACCTACTAAGACGTGGAGATCCGCAGTTGCTCATAGTTTTGGTTTCTTCTGGAAGAGTTAATTGCCCTAAAGGCAACATTCCATTTCCCTAGGTGGAATTTTAAAGCCCAGTCTCTCCCCACCCCCCCCCCCTAAGAAATCCTCTCACATCGTCCTTATCCGCCAGCAGAATGCTTCATATCCTCAGGACTGTGGTCTAATACTACCTCTAGCCGGAGCCTCTAGGCAAGACTTGATGAAGGAAAAAGTTCTGTAGAAAAAAAAAAATCATAATTTAAAATCCAGAACTGTGAATGCTTTCGAAATCCCTGGAAATTTTGTATTTTCTACCTCAATGCACAGTAATGTTAATAAAGCAAATCAATAGTTAGTTATATGTAAATTTTACTTCCATTATAAAGTAATTAAGGATTATCCTATAATTTTAACCTTTTTCATCTTCTCATATAACTTTGCTGTTTAAAATTGGAATGAATAAATGCTGTTCATTTGAAACCTAGTGAGCAATGGAAAATCATTCTAAAAGGCACACAGTGTTTCGGCTATTGTGCTGACTGTTTCGTCCTTGCCAGGTGATATGTCAGTGCTGTAATATTATGATACATTGCTCATTGTTGCAATTACCTTTGTCAGAGTGCATCTAGGTTTCATGCTTGAGATGTGTGAACAAAGTCATGAGATGGAGAATCTCGGTTTGTTTTCGTTGAGTATTGATCAAATACAACACTGATTCTATAAAACATGAGCAGATCTGATTATTACGTGATATGTATTTCAGGAGCACATAAATCACATTTTTAATTGAAATTTCTTTGCAAAGGGACCTTAAATTGCTACCTTTAATATCCTGCCTGGAAGGCATTTGTAGGTTTCTGGTGATGATTTTACGAATCTCTTCAGAATTTACAGAATTGTTTCACTTGCTAACTTCATAGGCAAGAAAGTTCATCAGAGCAAAGTCATTCAGTCTTCCTCAAAGGCAAATAACCGGGACTCACAGTTCTCTTGCTTTATAGATTGTTTCACTGTGTACATGAAATTAAAGATTTTATTTTGTTTTGTTTCACTTTTACTGAGGTTTCCAAAGGTCTGGGCACTGTGGTGTTTCAACTTTCACTGCCCTGGAGATGCACTGTCATGGGGGAGGGGGTATGGCCAGGACAAGCCATGACCTCGGGGCAGAGAGAAGTAACCAAGGGAGGTCTCTGTGGGAAGCCCCCCAGTGGCAAGTAGAATGGTGACCACTGATCCTAAAGGGCCTTCCCTCTCTCACGGTGGCTCACTCTCCTCCGCTGAGCTGTGATCTTCAGTAGGGTAGCGACCAAGGGGAGCACCTTTGGCTACGGTTTGTAACTGTCCCCCTCCCCACCATGCCTCCCTCTTCTTCCTTCTCCTTGCATTTAGTCCCATCTGCCTCTGCCCCCATCACCCTGGCTCTTCTTCCTTCTGAGGGTTCTTTCGTATCTCAGTCTGCCCCTCACCTGGGCCTCTTGACTCTGTCGGTGCCTTGAGGTTGCCACAGCAGCAGTGGGGACAGTATGTTCCTGGCATCCACAATGAAACTCTGACTGCACTCCCCATAGACACATCGTATTTCTGGTGATTAGGCCTATAATACCATCAGTATGGATTAAACGATTTTTTTGCAGGCTATGGCAATCTTCACCATCTGGTATATACTGTTTGCTTGGGACTCTATTTTCTAAATTACAAGAAAAAGGATTACGATTGTACTTCTGTTATGCCCTTCATGATGAAATTGGGACTGGATGGGAGCATTTTTATATCCTTGCTTGACTTTTTTCCAGATTTCAAAATACCCAGTGTTACCTGTGTCCGTGAATTGGCTTATTATTCAATATCCAATGATGAGAAGGTATATTTGCATTGTTTAGAGTTCTCACCAAAGAATTAGAGGGAAGGAAGGCGGAAGAAGTTCTTAAATGGCAAACATTATAGGAACTGATGCTTTTTGAGAAATATACATCACTTTTATACTATCGCGTGTCAAATCTGTGGTTTCATTCGAAACATGAAGCCATGTTATATTCTTGAAAAGAAAGAAGTGGGGAACTTGAAATCTGGCCACATTTATCAGGAACGATACTATTGTCTAAAATAGCCAAAGAGGGCGATTAAGGGTGGATGATGATTACAGCGTGGTCTGTGTGTATATAATTATGCTCTATCAAAAGAGGGAGAGACTTTGCGCTGTGGTTCAGATAGCATGAGAAAGCTTGTATTGCCAAGTCCTTCCCACCCAACTCCCCCTCCTCACCCCAAACCCCTCTCAGACACGCACAAGTGTGCTTAGGCTCTTTTAACCCCCAAGACGAGTCGGTAAAACATTCGATTAAAGACATTTGCTTAAAAAGAAAGTGGGCAAACTCCCACAAGGAGCCCATTGAAATAGAAAGGAATACAATAAAACGCACTTTCTCATACAAAGTATAATTAAATAGGACGGCCAGGAACTGAGTCTCATATCTCCATCACTTGTAATATCAGCCACATTAGCAACACCAATTTGAGCGCTGTATCTTCTCATTGTTCTGCACACGGCTGTGATGGCAAAGATAACCAGCCAGTGGCTGCTTATTCTGTGAGATCAGGGTGGATTCTGCATTGTTTGAAGACCTATTAATATTTTAAACACTGTCTACCCTTCAGGCATTGAGGTATTACATCACTATTTATACAGCGCAATTTGCCACTGCTTGGAAGGTTTCGAGCACTTCAGCATCCTGATAATTAAGTAGGAGATAGAATTATATTAACACAATTAACATGAGCCGAAAGGTAGACTTTTAAATTATTTCAAATGTTTCTGATATTGTGTAATCCAAAAATAACTCCTTGATTAACTAATTTGTCTCATAAGAAATGTCTCTATGTAGGTCAGGATGAGATCACTTGAAAAAAAACTACTCTTTTGAGAACTTTTAAACCGCCAAAAAAGAAAAATCTCATTTAAGAGCTGGAGTCAAATTATATGGTCATTTTAGTTCTCAGAATTCAAAGCATAGATGGCTGGAATCATGCGCGTGTGATAATTCTAGGCTACTCTCAATAAATAATACATGTCATTTCTGCTTCACTGAGGCTGTCACTTACTGCTCTAAATGACTTTCAATGCAGGGCCCAGCCTGCTCTCCCAGAGTGCACTTCAGCTCAATTCCAAACCTGAAGGGTCCTTCCAGTATCCGGCCAGCTACCATAGCAACCAGACCCTGGCCCTGGGTGACACGGCCCCTTCGCAGCTCCCTGCCCGAGGCGCGCAAGCCCGAGGTGCGGCCCACGGCTTCAGCCAGGTACGTGTGGGAACGGGGGTTCCACCGGGAGCAGGTGGGGAGCAGGGCTGCCAGCTGGCCACCGCGTTCCCTCCTCCCCTCTTCAGGCTTGCCCGGTAACTTGGGAAAGTTAGGAAAGATGCCTTGAGGGCTGTGAGTGAAGGAAATGAATGATCAAATACCATTATCAAGTAACACCGAATTGTAGATATTTTCTTGAGGAATGTCTGTGGATCACTCCTGCTGTCTACTTTGTACAGGCTCATCTATGTGAATGTGTGTCTCGTTACTATTTCTGTGTCTATATGGGATATAAATATGACAGACACTCCGAGTTTGTGAGTGCACCTGGAACCAATTTTTCTCCTAAAAAAAAAAAAAAAGCATGAAATTATTCCTTGGGCATAATCGTATCAAGGAACATAGTATTAATGCATAATCAAGTACACGGAACTCTTCTGTAGATAACTGTGATTAGTTTAGGAGTGGTTACACGTTGTCAGGTTTGATTTTGAAATGTGCCTATAATTGTTTCTTTAAAGCCCCGCACTTTCTCCTGTCGTTTCACAGCACAAATTCATCAGGTGCAGTTGAGATCAGCTCTTGGTAAAGAGAACTAGCTCCTCACCTGAATTTGTTTTTCGTGCGAGATGTAAGCGTTATTTACATGTTAATTTGGGGGTGCAGGCTTTAGTTGATCAGCCCACCAGAATTAATGTGTTGATTGGAGGGCTCTCTTCTCTTCAGCTACTTTAAACTTACTGTAATCTCTGCATGTTTGGTCCTTGAATGAAGAACCGGCCACCTTCAAAGTAGCCCTTTAAGCTGATGAGCTTCATTTCATCCTTTCTTCACTAACGCTCGGGACTTCCGTACCCCATTACCTCCGCCAGGAACAGTTCCCCAGCTGCACTACCCATCTGGGGGCTTCCAACGACCAAACCCATCCATCTCTGTTATCAGTTTATCGTTACTTTGCACCCATGGATCTTTCCACCTAAAAACTGAAAGCAACCTGAGGGCAGGGCCATTTTCCTCTTTTATCAGCAGTCCCTAGCCATCCCGGTGGCCCTCTGGAAATGTCTGCAGACAGATAGGAGGTAAGACGAGCCAGAGTGGCATATGGTATAGTCACCGGGAGATGCTGATTTTCAGTGACATGGACACAGAGAAGCATGAACTGAAAAGTCTCAGTGCATTTGAATTATTAAATTATTGCCCTGGCAATATGTTAAAAATACAATTACCTCCTGCAGGCAACACCCTTGTCCATCAGTGGCTTTGTGACTTTTACCTTCTTGGGGATGCCAAGCACAGGGTATGTGAATAAAAGGGAGGGGTAAATAAAACATTCCACTGAGAAGATTGGCCGGCTCCCCTGTTGTGGTGCAGTGTGCGACCCTTGCGGTGCTTGATTCTTTTAATGTTTATTTATTTTTGAGAGAGTGAGAACGTGAGCGGGGAAGGAGCAGAGAGAGAGGAGAGAGAGAGAGAGAGAGAGAGAGAGAGAGAGAGAGAATCTGAAGTAGGCTCCAGGCTCTGAGCTGCCAGCACAGAGCCCAACATGGGGCTCAAACTCACAGACCGTGAGATCATGACCTCAGCCGAGGTCGGACCCTTAACCCACTGAGCCACCCAGGCACCCCAGGATCACTGTTCTTTAAATGTACTGGTCTGTTCTATTTCCCTGAAAGAAAGATGCAAGGATATGCGAGGGAATATCTGAAAATGGTTTTTAATTTATTAGAAAAAAATCATACACACATGCATTTATCACATATACATAATACTGCGTATTTTTTCATTACCTATGAACATTCATTATGTGATGTTTGAAACACTGGGTGTTGTCAGCATAGGAAATATTGTTAGATTTTTTTTAATCTAATTTTATTTTATTAAGAGATAAAATGGAAGCTGTGATTTCACTATGTAGATGTAGATTTTTTTTTTTTTCTCAAAAGCATCCCATTCTTGAAAGGAACTATTTTTCTCCTTCTCATCTGTCTTCTCTTTGACCATGATACAGTGATTGTGGTCGAATGCACTCAATTTTGAATTCTTTGGAAGCAAGCAACTATATTACACACCGTCTTTTATCCTTACATCTGACTATACTTCTAGGTCCAAGAGGCCACATTCAGAAATGAGGAATATTTTATACTCAAATTAACCTGCGAAGGTTATGAATTTAGCTTTCACCAGCCTCCTAGAACTTCTAAGACACAAAGGTAGTAAAACAATAAAGTTCTATCTTTAAAAAAAAAAAAATATCTTGAACTCCTATTACTCATGTTTGGCTTTTTTTTTTTTTTTTTCATAAATACCTAAGACCTCTGTAATTTGAGCTGAAACACTGAATCAGTTTCTTTTTTTAAATCTGTATTACCATAGCTGAGCATCATGGAAAATAGAAATGTCAATATAAAATGAAAAATCAGTTAACTTCTCAACTCATCTGTGAGCATCTTCTAAGTTCAATTCACACATAGCTGTATAATGACTAGCTGTTAAAGCAAAGCTTTCTTATAAAATTAATAGCTACCATTTATTAAGCACGCAGAAGTAATCTGTTTTACATGCATCATCTTATTTCATGCCCACCACGGAGCTGTATTAGTATCTACACTTTAAAGATGGGAAAATTCAAGCTCATCACATTTAGAGATGTTGTCACACACCATTTTAAGGAAGCAGTGGTAAAACAGGGCACAAAATCTGGACTGAGTTGAAGCCTAGTGATTCCAGCACTGTTTCATAGGTTTCCTTTTATTATTGACCATTTCAACACCTTGGATCTAGTAAGAGGTCTATCAATGTGGACAAGCAGTATGGCGGTTTATCTACTTCCGTGTTATAGAAGTTCTGCTTGGAGCTAATTCTTTCATCCAGTACTTAACATGGGAATATAACAGTGGAAACTCAGAATGACAGGATTGGGCCTCACATTAAAAGTCTGCTTTAAAATTTAATCAGAAAATGTAACAAAGTTGTAAAGATATCAAAGCTATGTATTTGAAGTCATCAGAGTTATAGTTTGAAGACGTCTATAAATGTGCATGTTCAAAGCTATAACTTAGGTTTGAGCCAAAAGTGACTGGCATACTCATTTACTCTGGCAGGTGGGTGGATGGAAAGTCTGAACATTCAAAGCAGGGGGTTGTTCTAATCCACTTGATTAACAGGATTGAGGCTGTTGACAAATACCTAAATCTTATTTATTTTACTAAGTGGTAGATCTTGGTACCATGGTTTACTTTTAGCTTTTCTGGGCTGCGGTAGGAAAGTCATGTTTTATTGAATACCCTATAGGACCTCTGACTTCAAAATAATGTCAGAGAAGCGTTGAACAAGTAAACAGTATTTTTATTTGGCTTTAGCGTTATACCTAGAAAGTAGGGGCACCATTTCCCATTCCAATAGCATCCCTTTTGTTTAGATTATCTCGAGAATCCCTCTATTCCAGTGGTTTTTCAGAGCCCAGTGACACATTCTTTTCAATATTCTGACTGGTGCGAAAGCTCATTTCTTCAAGGCTGGATTAATTTTTAGAATACCTTGTAGTTTGAAAGTGCCAACGGGGCTAGAGAAATTCAAATTATTGCCAACAGATGCCAGACCAAGTTAATAAGGTCAATAATCAATCAACACAAAAACATTTCTTTTTTTTTTTTTGGTTGGTTGTTTTTTGTTTTTTTTTTTTTTTTGTGGGTCTTAAAAAATATGTATAATTCTAACGTAAAGCAAATGGTTTTGTGTCTGGCTCATAAATCATGTCACCATGCAATGTCAAAGGAGTATCATGTGTGTTCAAAGATTCTAATTTCAATTAAAAAGAAAAAGCTCTGACTTATTCAGCAGAATAAATGTTGGTGGAGTGACCATCACCCGCTCTACACCAGACCCTGGCAATACATGCATCACCTACATTGCCCCATCGTATCTGCAGATAAAACTATGAGTCACAAAAGGTGCAATAGAATATTGATTCTCTGGTGTTGCCCTAACTACAATCCTTGGAAGTCCTTCCCCTCAGACACTAGGTTGAGTTTAGGAGACTGGGAGGCATAGAAGGTAAGACCCTACCTATCAACCCCCAGGGCCTTTCTGGGAAGTAACATGAGCCAATTTATGGTTATTCTTTCCCCCACCTTGCAGTCTCCATGCCCCAACCTCTAATCAGGCTGTGTAGATAACCTCTCCCTCCCTCCCTCCGTCCCTTCCTCCTCCAAGTCAACCTTGTCCTTTATGTAACTCTCCTGAGGTGCCCCAGTTACATTTGTGTATCTATGGGCTATTCTTTTTTTTTTTTTAATGTTTATTTATTTTTGAGAGAGAGAGAGAGAGAGAGAGAGAGAGAGAGAGAGAGAGAGAGAGAGGGTGCAAGCAGGGGAGGGGCAGAGAGAGAGGGAGACACAGATACCAGAGCAGGCTTCAGGCTCTGAGGTGTCAGCACAGAGCCCAATGCAGGGCTCGAACCCACAAACCGTGAGATGATCGTGACCTGAGCCAAAGTCAGAGGCTTAACCGACCGAGCCACCCAGTCTCCCCATCCGTGGGTTATTCTTTAATGCATCTGAGACACTTTGTGTGCCTGTTGTAAGCTGTGTGCTGTTGTGTGTGCTTGGGAGAGAGCAGGAAAGAAAATAGACACAATCCCCACCTACATTCCAGCAGCAGCAATGAGAATGCAGAATATCGACACGGGGAATAAGTAAATTACATAGTTTGTTGGAAAGCGATGATTTCTATGAGGAGGAAATGACGCAGAACAGGATAAGCAGGATCCAAAATGTGGGACCAGGTGTGGTATATGGGGCCTTGTGCAGAAGGTAAGGATTGGGAAAGACCTGAAGATGGGGAGAGAGGTCGCTGTATGTAGGGGTGTCGTGGGGACACCAAAATACAATGAATGGCTCCTGGATGAGGTGGCCTGGCATCTTGATGGGGCAGCAGGGAAGCTAAAGCGGGTGCAGGACTTTTCAAAGGGGCTGGAAACCCAGCCCGTTATTGTGAGGACCTTGTGTTTTACTCTCAGAGGCACCGCATGGCCTGACTCAGGCCTTGAAAGCATCATTCTACTGTATCACATATAACGCCTGTAGTTAGTCACACAAGAG